GAGATAGGACTTTCATATACATGAATTACATGTGCATTACCATTAATAAAAAAAGCGTTAATCATAATTCTTTAAATTTGCTAAGCTGCTGCGGTTTTATACCTTCTGTAGTTGTTGAAAGAATACATATTTCTTTATCCATGGTTGTTGTGTCTTTTGTCGTGGTTTTAGGCAATGTTACATGTAATATTAAAACGAGATGCTCTGATTTCTGACCGTTACTTCCAAATGCCTGTGATTAAGTACATATTCATGACTTTAATTTAGTAGAAAAGACAAAAGAATGATTTTACTGAAATAAAGAGATGAGAAACTTTGCATAATTTTACTTATATTAATGAAAGAGATAACAAACCTGCAGAACTACAATCACTCTGAAGTCTGAAGGTTCACCAAAGTTGGAGAAGTTTGCAAACGACTGATTAAGAATGAATGTACCATTTTCAAACTCAATATTTTCTTTGTATGTTTCAGGATAAACTGACATTTGAAACAGAAAAGCAGTTATAAATGTTGTGAATGGTGTAAGACACAAAGGTTAATTATTATATTATGGCGTTCAACATTTTTATGCAAACTCTTATGCGTGAAAAGAAGACTTGCTGTGGCGTTTAACTCGACATTTAGATATATCTAATAAAACGTACTGTCAATTAACAATGGTCATGTCCATTCCATCGTCGATTTGATATATTCTGGTGAGCTTGAGATAAAAGATACCACAGAGTCTGAAACATCTGTTAAGGCTTTGATATTTTACTTGAAAATGGCGTTAATGGTTATCTAACAACCAAGCTTTATGATAAACGTGATGACTTTAACTTTTCTACCGTCAACTTTCCTTACTTATGCAGCAATACACCTTCATCACTTGCATATGGAGTGTATATATCTCAGTTGATTCGATTCGCAAGAGCATGCTCTACTTATGAATAATTTCTAAAACGAGGTAAATTATTGACAAGCAAGTTGATGAAACAAGAATATCAGCAGTCTCGTTTAAAGTAATAATTTCGTAAATTCTATGGTCGATACAATTACCTTTTCAGCAAAAACAATTTATCCTTGAGACAAATGCTGACTGACGTTTTCATACTAATTGTTAGTCCATTATTTATACACTGAATTGACGACGGATTTTTCCGTTATTTCCCGATCATGACAAGGAGCACATGGCGGGTTTGACCGGTCAGCAGGGGATGCTCACTCCTCCATTGCACCTTATCCAATAGACCTCTGATGTTTTTTGAGGTCCGTGTTTGCTGTGCTCCTATTCTATATTGTTTTATGGACTTTGATATTGAATACTGTTCGTTATCCCCATATCCTTCTTTGAAAAACTTTAAAGCTACATAGTTCTCATCGAACCTTTCATGAGTGTTCACATATGAATGATTTTTGCTGTACTTTCATGGTTTCTCTTATCTAAACTTTACGAAAACTAGAGGTGCTATGAGCACTGAGCTCACTTAATGATACCCCCGCTCCCATATGATTATAGTGGCAAAACCAATGGTTTGCTCTAGGAAATAAGTCTACGATCGAAAAGAGGAATAAGAGGTCACAATGACATTATGCAATAAAGAATCTGTTGAAGTGTCATCAACTTTATTCAGTGATTTAAGAGGAGTTGTAGATACACCACTTGTTCCTTTTTTGGCTTGATCACTCTATTATCTAATATTTCATATAATGAAATAATAAAAACACTATGAATACCTATTAATTTGTAGGTAATTTTTGACTGAGGACTATCTGTATCGATGGCCTTTAAGTGGCTAGGTTCAGTTTTGATCGTTCCCTGAATTATAGAAATCGATAAAATCGTCTGTTAAACAATGTAGTGGAAGTTTGTGCCATTATTTCTTTAATGAAAAAAGAGAAATGTTTCAATTAGGAAAAAAAAAACCAAAAGTAAATAAATTTACCTGATCAAAGTAATCAATCGTAACAGAAATATCAGGAACTGGACAAGAGTAGCAGGTAGTGGAGCATTCAGATCTGACAAACACGGGGGGAGTGTCATCAATGTTAGTAAAGTTTACATTCAGGATTGTTGATACGGTATGAGGACCGTCCTGAACAATATAAACACAAGTTTTATTGAAAGCTACCTTTTTATTATGTATACGAGTATACCCGAAACATTCCGAATACGAGCGTTCAATATTGAATGCCCCGTTGTAAACAAAAAAAAGTCGTCTGGTCAAATTCTCTGAGCTAAGTTAAAGAAAGCAAGTGGCATCTAGGTAAGATGTGTTTATTTTTCACACAAAAATGAAATTATTTATTAAAAAATTAGTACGTATTAGACCCATTAAAACCTAAATAAGCAAATCATATCGCTCGGTAGGGTCATCGGAATGATGCGATATTGAACGCTAACAGGACAGACGTTAATTTGAATACCGATACTAAAAATCATTAATTTTAGGGTTTTTTAGTCGGAATATTTATTATAAATTATGTAGAAATGTTTTAGCTATATAATAAAGAAGTTATTGAACTTATATCGGTGAATATTGGCACTCGTTGGCTCGTATATTTGAACAACCAACTCGTGCCAATATTCACCGATATAGGTTCAATAACCCTATAATATACTTGATTTTGTATCCAAGTTTCAGTCGATTAAGCTGACTAGCTGAGTTACTACCTTAAATAACCCTTGATTTTCTGAAAACAGATGATATTTCGATTGGCAATTACGATTCTTATATATCGAAGATGTCGACATATACGCACCTCTCTCACGTAGAGATATAACGTTAAGATTGAACACAAAGTGGTACTCCTTTGACAACGTAAAGCAAAACGAGGTTTGGGGACGCACTAATCTGACTGTGCATCATTTGATCTACAAAGAAAAGTGCTCATTGAGCACAGAGCTACTAAAAGATCAAGCCAAGGGAAATTTTTCAAATTTACGAAGTGATTGCTACGAGAATCAGATGCTTCTATTCTTCTATGCATTTGTATAGCTGATTTAGAGATTTTGGGATCTCTTCCATGCATTTGTATAGTTGATTTAGAGATTTTGGGATCTTTTCAGTAACAAGATATAGAATATTCAAAATGTGGGAGTCGGTGAAAGCAGAGGCGACACTGATTACATTCCTTTTGATTGATTGATTATATACTGTTTAACGTCCCTCTCCAGAATTTTTCACTGATATGGAGACGTCACCATTGCCGGTGAAGGGCTGCAAATTTAGACCTATGCTCGGCACTTACGGCCTTTGAGCAGGGAGGGATCTTTATCGTGCCACACCTGCTGTGACACGGGGCCTCGGTTTATACGGTCTCATCCGAAGGACCGCCCCATTTAGTCGCCTTTTACGACAAGCAAGGGGGTACTGAGGACCTATTCTAACCCGGATCCCCACGGGGCCATTCCTTTTGATAATTCATTTGATGGCAAAACGTTAATTAATTTTATTCTACATTTTGTGAGGGGGTTTTGAACATTTTATCAAACTCGGCATCCCAAAACGTATTGTTTAGACACGCTACCAACCAATTTACTATGTATGCTTACCTTTGCAGTGATATTTAAGATTCCTTCAGTTTTTCCCAAACCGCACTGGATGCTGGTGTCTTCGTAATCAAAGTTCCTTATTTGATACAGAAATCCTGTTGTGGCGTTAACAGTGAAATACTCACTTGCATCTGTCTTGATAAAGGGAACATAATTCGTAAAATAATTTCATTTTTCTTTTTTGCAACTTTACATATGGAGATAACGAACTGCATTCAAGTTTAAAAGTGCAATAAACAATACAAAATAGGAGCAGAGCAAACATGGACCTCTGAAACATCAGAGGTAGGATCAGGAGCCATGGTATTCATTTCTTAGAATTCATATTTTGTCATTTGTCTAAGTAATTTCTCGAATGTCAATGTAAAATTTTGCATTTATCAGTGCAAAATTGACATTGACGTAGAGTATTGTGAAGAAAGATAAAAGGGGGGGGGGGTATTTGAACAAACTAAAATTTATACATTTTTATATATTGATGATCAATCATGGCTTTGTTGTAGAGAATTTTTACGATTTTTCTTATGTATTCCTGAATAAAACGTTGATCCTCCATTGTAGTTCTACTCTACGCCATGGAATATGATTCAACAAACTTGAATCTACAGAACCTGAGGATGCTTCTATATAAATAAAGAAGTATCACAGCTTTGCTGATCTCGAGAAGAAAAATTGAAAACTTTTTCTATGTTATCCTTTTTTAAACTTTATCACCAATTATTGCCCCACCCTTGCCCCAGGGGTCATGGTTTGAACAACTTGAATCTACACTACCTAAGGATGCTTTCATATTCTATGGCTTTGATGTTCTTGAGAAGATTTTTGTGGATTTTTTTATGTATTGCTATGTTAAACTTTAATATCTCGTTGTGATCCCACCAAACTCCCTGGGACCATGATTTGAACAACCTTAAATATACACTACCAGATGCTTTCTTATAAGTATAACTAGTAATGGCTTTGCTGTTCTTTAGAAGACTTAAAAAATTCCTATATATTCCTGTTTTAAATTTTTAAACCCGATTGTGATTCCATCCTGCCCCATGGGATCATGATTTGAACAAAGTGGAATGATTTACATTATCAAAGGATGCATCCACTTGAATTTCAATTTTCCTGACCAAGTTCGTGAGAAGAAGATTTCTAAAAATTTTCCCACGTATTCCTTTGTTACACTTTTATACCCGATCTTGGCCCCACCCTTTCCCGGGGGGCTGGGGGGTTGGGGGTCATGATTTGAATAACTTGAATCTACCTGAGGATGCTTCCACATGAGTTTCATATTTCCTCACCTTGTGGTTCGTGATAAGTTTTTTTTTTTAATGATGCCTTTAATTTTTCAGCAATTCATAATTATCTCCCCTTTAAAGAGGGTGTGGCCCTTCATTTGAACAAACTTGAATCCCCTTTGCCCAAAGAAACTTTGTGGCAAGTTTGGTTGATATTGGCTCCGTGGTTCTTGAGGAGAAGATGAAAATGTGAAAAGTTAACGACGATGACGAGGACAAGAACAACAAGGAAGACGTGGACAGACAATGGACAAATATTTGATAAGAAAAGCTCTCTTGAGCTTTCGGCCAAGGTGAGCTTAAAAGGGCTTTACTAATTCTTTGCATAACAATGAACACTAAATGCTTTCTTGCATTTCTAAAACATTGAAAGTCAGAAATGTAGTTTTATTTCCTTAAAGATTTAATGTACAAAAGATGATCCAGTGTTATAATTTTAGCATTTATGTAAAATTCATATATTTTTACTAGCCCTTTATACCTGCATTATCTTTGTTCTTCAAAAATATGAAAAATCTTCTCACCTTTCCAGTAGTTTTTGAGATGTAAAATATAGGGTTGACCCTTGGACAATCACGGTCTTCAAAGAAATCCAACATACGAGCGATGAATATTGGAGTCGGCCCTTCGCCCTGAAATTCTTACTTAATTAGATTTATTGAAATAAGTCTCATCAGATCATTCAAATATCTGTAGACATGTTTCATATTCAAGAAACAAACCTCTTGTATCTGGAAAGTGTCATTTCTAACAGCAATGGGTGGATATTCGTTCACTGGATTGACACTAAATGTTATTAATCCATCGTCCTAATGCAACATAGTTAAAATTCATGTACAATTGATGACGGAAGGAACAATATTTCAATAAATACTATTATATAAATATGATGCTATCGAAAAGTTACACTTACTGGTGTTCCATCATTATTTTCACACGACACCCTTTGTTTGAATTGCTGCAGACCAGAATTACATACATCGCCGAGCTACAAATAAGATGTAATACAAATATTATGATTAAAATATCAGCACATTAAAATATTCACTCATAATGAGATTTGTCTACTGTAGATCACTATATTTTCGCGACACCTTATTTTCGCGAGTTAGCCATGTGGTATTAATTTATAGGTGAAACAAAATTTTTGCGACCTGTGGTTTTTGTTTTATATAAATAAAATAATACAAATATACGCGAGAATAAAATAAAGTTCTCGCGTATAAAAATGATTTTCAGTATGTCATAACTACTTCCAATCTTCAAACTGCAGAAATGTTCATATGTTGTATATTAAAAAGATCAGTCTGTATTGTTTACCTTAGATATAGCTAGAATATTCCAAAAGAACGCATGTGTGTCACCTGATTTTAGATACTTTAAAGATGTAACTATATCTTAGAGTGGTCTTCAATTTATTCTACTAGCATAAACAGTATATCATGCAAAAAAAAAAAAACCTAGCATGATAGTTTATAAAAATGCAAAAAAACATCCACACATAATATACGACCGCGATAGAGTCTGTCAAATACGATTACCAACCCTCAAATGAATAATTAAGTTGAAATCATTATAAACAATTATTTATCATTTTACATGTGATAATACGTGTTTGTAAGTCTTTACAGGTGTCATAACAGTTTTTCACTAGATTTCACTCAAATTATGGCTGACGCAAAATAATCACCGAATATCCCTTTCCGGTTCGGGCATTTTAATATGAGACTGGAACTGAATTTTTTTTATGAGATGGAAAACCACATATATATTGACCAGGAATTATTAATATTTAGGGCGTGCAAATTTTTCCGTTCTTGAGTGGTCAGTAATTAAGTTTTGGACTAGATTTTCAAGCACCTGCTCGACTTCGACCAGAACAAACTTGCTTGCCTTAATGGATGGCTTTGTATTGTTTTGGACTTTGGACTAAGATCTTTATAATGAATTGTTTTATAAGATCTGAAAAGGATCTGAAAAGGAAACTTCTCAGAGGTTTGTTTTCAATTAATTACATCTACTCAAACTTGCGCATTTTTTATTAATATATATATAGAATTTAATCCTGTTGTGCAACCTACACCAATTTTATTAATATATATAGAATTAAATCCTGTTGTGCAACCTACACCAATTGTCACTCAACACGATCCGTTGTAGGATCCCGATCCCGATCCGGATGTATTTTCATAATATTTAAATTTCAGTTTGTGTGATTATTGAATAGCATACCTTTTCAAAGAACAGTATTCTGAACTTATACACATTGATAAATGTTAATTATCAACACCCACCACTTAAAATTCAAATATTAAATCAAATTGTCGGGGGTATTCTTTATTAGGTCAAGTTCAATTGAATTGTAACGATGATATTTTATGTCTTATGACACCCAGTGCACAGGCTAAAAAGAATAGAATTGCTTCTTAAATATCCAAAATAGTATTTTAAACTTTTTATAAAGTAGATCAAAGGACAAGGTCTATGGTCACAGGGTCGATAACCACGGTAGTTGACAAATGCCATAGAACAAAGCAATAAATTTTCAAATTATCAAGTCCATATCACCCGCCGTGTGCTTCTTGTCATGATCGGGAAAAATCCGTCGTCAAAACAGTGTGTAAAGAATGAACTAACAATTAGGATGAAAAAAAAAGTTATTTCGCATTTGACTCAAATATATTTTATTTGCTTACTAGGTGATTGTATTGACCATAGAACTTATGAAATGATGACTTTAGACGAGACTGCTGATATTCTTGTTTCATCAACTTGTTTGTCCATAATTCACCTAGTTTTAGAAATTGTTTGTATGTAGAGCATGCTCTTGTGTATCGAATCAACTGAGAGATATAAATTCCGTATGCAGGTGATGAAAGAGTACTTCTTAGATTAACACTTTACAACTTACTGAACTGTTATGCAACATACACTTAATGTCCACGTCATAGAAACAGAACTTTACTGTTTCCCCGCAAGCACCTTTTAGCGTGGTACAGGTTTCTCTAACGTTTAGCGTAAATAATATTCTGACTTTAAATTTTGATACAAAAATAACTTTTCTTATTTTATGAGATTTTTGCAAGTATAAGGTAGAAGGACATTGGCATTCAATTAAAGATTAAATGAACTTTTTAAAGTACGTGAAAATGCGGGAAAACGGTAAATGTGTGATTTTGCGTTAGAAATAGGAAATGGCATATGCGTTCAAATGCGTGACTGCGGGGAAGGAGGTTAATATTCAGAAATATGTGCATGTATAAAAATGCTCATTATTCCATCAATATTCCACTACCTTTAAAAAAATCTCAAAAAAGAACAAATAAAATGAAATGCATTTTTTCTTACGTTTGATACATCCAGATCCACATGTCTAAGCAATTTTATTTGATAAGTGTTGTTATACCCGCACTTTCTAAAGAAAGTTCGGGTATATTGTTGTTACTCATGTCCGTCCGTCCGTCCGTCTGTCACACTTTTCTTCCCTGAACTCCTCTTACATTTTACACAGTAGCTTAATCATCTTTTGGGAGATGGTTGGTGGTGTCATGTAGATGTGCAGTAAGGTTTCGGAATTTTGATTTTGCCCCGGGGGGTCAAATGGGGGTCGAAAAATGACGTTTTTTATGCAAGAAGTCCCGTCTTCCCTGAACTCCTTCTACATTTTACTCAGCAGCCTAATCACCTTTTGGGGGATGATTGGTGGTGTCATGTAGATGTGCAGTAAGGTTTCGGAAATTTTGATTTTGCCCCGGGGGGTCAAATGGGGGTCGAAAAATGACGTTTTTTATGCAAAAAGTCCCGTCTTCCCTGAACTCCTTCTACATTTTACTCAGCAGCCTAATCACCTTTTGGGGGATGATTGGTGGTGTCATGTAGATGTGCAGTAAGGTTTCGGAAATTTTGATTTTGCCCCGGGGGGTCAAATGGGGGTCAAAATGACGTTTTTTATGCAAAAAGTCCCGTCTTCCCTGAACTCCTTCTACATTTTACTCAGCAGCCTAATCACCTTTTGGGGGATGATTGGTGGTGTCATGTAGATGTGCACTAAGATTTCAGAATTCTGATTTCGCCCCGGGGGGTCAAATGGGGGTCGAAAAATGATGTTTTTTATGCAAAAAGTCCCGTCTTCCCTGAACTCCTTCTACATTTTACTCAGCAGCCTAATCACCTTTTGGGGGATGATTGGTGGTGTCATGTAGATGTGCAGTAAGGTTTCAGAATTTTGATTTTGCACCAGGGGGTCAAATGGGGGTCGAAAAATGATGTTTTTTATGCAAAAAGCCCCGTCTTCCATGATCTCCTTCTACATTTTACACAGTAGCCTAATCTTCTTTTGAGAGATCTTTGGTGGTGTCAGTTAGATGTGCAGTAAGGTTTCGGAATTTAGATTTTGCCCCGGGGGGTCAAATGGGGGTCGAAAAATGATGTTTTTTATGCAAAAAGCCCCGTCTTCCCTGAACTCCTCTTACATTTTACTCTGCAGCCTAATCATCTTTTGGGAGATGGTTGGTCGGGTCATGTAGATGTGCAGTAAGGTTTCCGAATTTTGATTTTGCCCCGGGGGGTCAAATGGGGGTCGAAAAATGACGTTTTTTATGCAAAAAGCCCCGTCTTCTCTGAACTCCTCTTACATTTTACTCAGCAGCCTAATCATCTTTTGGGAGATGGTTGGTGGGCTCATGTAGATGTGCAGTAAGGTTTTGGAATTTTGATTTTGCCCCGGGGGGTCAAATGTGGGTCGAAAAATGATGTTTTTTTATGCAAAAAGCCCCGTCTTCCCTGAACCCCTCTTACATTTTACTCAGCAGCCTAATCACCTTTTGGGAGATGGTTGGTGGTGTCATGTAGATGTGCAGTAAGGTTTTGGAATTCTGATTTTGCCCCAGGGGGTCAAATAGGGGTCAAAAAATGATGTTTTTATGCAAAAAGTCCCGTCTTCCCTGAAATTCTCCTTCATTTTACATAGTAGCCTAATCATCTTTTGGGAGATGGTTGGTGGTGTCATGTAGATGTGCAGTAAGGTTTCGTAATTTTGATTTTGCCCCGGGGGGTTAAATGGGGGTGGAAAAATGACGTTTTTTGTGCAAAAAGTCCTGTCTTTCCTGAAGTCCTCCTTAATGTTACTCAGAAGCCTAATCATCTTTTAGGAGAGTTAAATATTTTGAAAATTATGTAAAACATCAACGTTAAAGGGTAAAAAAGCATCGCATGCTGGGAAACACCTTGAATTTTTATGAGTAATTAATGTACATGTCAAATGTGAGAGTCATATCTCATCTCAATCAAAAGTTATAAGCAAATGCAACATTTTTGAAAAGTAGGTTAGGCTTCAAGGTCAAGGTCACAGAGTAAAAGTCATGATTCATTTGGAAAGGTCTTATCACAGGTAATAATATACATGCATTATAATATGAATGCCCTAACTTTTCTCTTTCAAAATGATGAATTTATAACAATTTAATTTTTTTGCAAGTAGGTCAAACTTCTAGGTCATATGTAAAAAAAAAACCATGCCATTCTCACAGGTAAATACTAGTACATAAGTTTAATATGAATGCCTTGTCTCTTCTCATTCAGTAGATATGACCGTGATGACCAAGGTTAATTTTATTCAGACAGAAGGACAGTCTGACATACAAATGTACATATTTCTATATGAATTGCATGGGTAAAATTGGCCCAGTGGTTCTAGAGAAGTTAAAAATGTAAAAAGTTTTCAGACAAACAGATGGACGACATGTCACGACAGACGTTATATGATAAGGAAACCAGAAAAGCTCAAATGAGTGTTTTGAAAGGG